TAAAGAATTCCTCCTCCCTATCTCATTTTATCCTGCTTATCAGGAAAAGATGAGTGAAGAGCAGGTGCAAAGAGGGCTGTAAAATCTAATGTCTCCAGCCAGAAGAACAGTTCCACACACTACAAAATTTGTGCTAGCAAATTGCCCTCTGTAAAGGTATGGTACTAACTGAAATATGGCAACAAGCTTTACCATAAGCACAAATATTCTGATATTAAAATACTTGTCCCATCATTAAGTTTTAGGCTTGCTTTGCAGTTAACATTTCTGACAGCATGGTTATGTGGATTATGAGTACAGAGAGAAATCACCCTTAGAACTGACATAGTTATGACAGCAAAAAACAACAACAGAGATCACCAAACAGGGAAAAGAAGATTCTCTTTTTTGCCATTTTAACAAGTCATGGATAAAAGTCGTGTGGCTGCTAAATTACCTCCTTAAGCATGAGCAAATCCCCATCTACCAGCAAGCCCTTTCAAAGGAGCTGCTTTCCCTTCTATTTAAAAAATGCTGGTACTGACAGGAATTTGTCTACAGTGGCTTGTTTCTGCTGGTAAAGTGAGCATGCTACAGGAAATGTGCATGGTTTTATATACATACACACACTCATATGGAATTAGACACACACATATATATATGTATATATATTTTCCATGTACATCTATTGTATGTGTTTTTATGTTTGTATACATGTGTTTTATATGTATAATCAAATATACAGCAATAAATATATATCTATAAATACATATACAGAGCCAGGAGGCACCCAGCTCCCCCCAGCAGGAGGTGAGGCCCGGAGGGCACCATCTGGAGGTGTCCACAGCATCTCCTTACCCTTTGGGCTTCACGTGGCCCACCCAACCCACCTGGTGTGAGTCACTATGTCTGTCAAAGCGCCGCCCTCCAGAAACTCCATCACAACCCACAGCTCATCTCCAACAAGGTAACTGTTGTACATGTCGACCACGTTCTCATGGTGGTAATCTCTCATGATGACAACCTGGGAGGAGGGAAATGATGATACTTTTGAATTGCTACGAGCGTTAGCTGACTCCTGTTTTGACCTTCTTCTTCACTGCATTGTCTCTTTGTACTCGGGAAAGGTTCTGCCATGAATCACATCCTCCCTAATCCTTATGCCAACGTGTAAACAGAATCAATATATTTACATGAAAATAACAGTCATCGTAAATGCATTAGGAAGAAGGAAGATTTTTTTAGGTGCTAAAGTTTAAAGGGTAGATAATTGGGTTGTGTTCAGACTGCAGGAACAGGACTGTTCATTTAATTGCTTTTTTATTGCCAGTTGCTTTCAGCACATCTGAATTTCTGGGGGTTTTTTTTGGTTTTTTTTTTTTTTTTTACCTGATCTTTTGCTCAAGCCCTCAAAGTCTTCATCATACATCAAACAGTACTTTGCAGAGAATTTTAACAGAATGCTGGTAATATAGGGGACATTCATAACACCACTTAAATCCTACATCTAAAAGTGACTGTACAGAATTGAAACCACAGTGAGAGCAGCCTAGTCAAGGTGGCAACTGTGACAACACGGTACCAAGGGATGTCAGAAAGGCCATCAGGAGAGAAAACAACAACCAGGGAAAGCTTCATCACAGAGAGAGGAATTTCAGCATCGCTGAGAAGAAATTGTCAGATGACAGGAGTGAGTGGAGCGTGTCAGGGAAGCAGCTTGGTCCTGCACAGCATGCAGGACCTGCTTCAAGATGCTACCGCTCAAGAGAGGCTCAGTTAGAGCTACCACAACACAATCCAGCACCATCTTCCAGCAGAGGCACAACAGAGCCAAAATACCCAGTGCAGTCATGGACAGGGCAAAGGAGAACTGTGTGAACTTTGTTAAAAAACTAGTATTTTAATTGAAAAAAAATGTTAGGTTTTTAAAGGTTTTAAAGAAACCGATCTGTTATGTGCTGAGGGAAGATCTTCAATAATTAAAACACAGGAAACAAATGCTAGAATCAAAAGGTTAACTCTCTCAAGAGGTTTCCCTGGGCATCAGTGCTGGTTTTGGCATTGATCAGCATATTCAGAAGTGATTTTGAAAAGCAAGTGGAGAACATGCAATACTAGCTTCTTTAAGGGAGCAAGAAGTAATAAAGGAGAACCTCTTCAAGTTGCAGAAGGAACTCTCAGCTCTAAAGAATGGGGTGAAAAAATGGCAAATGAATCCCAGTCATCTTACATTTAAAACAACATACACGAGGAAGACAATTTTTCATAAGCAGCTGTGGGCTCTGAACTGGCTGCAGTCCCACAGGAAAGGAGATGTGGGAATTAACACAGATGGTTCCACAAAAAAAGGACTGTAAGCTCTTTGCTTAGTAACAACCATCAAGAAGGCAAAGGGACTGCTTCTGGTTAGGAGAGGGAGGAGAGAGGAACAAAAAAGAAGGTGTATGCCAGAATACAGCACATGTGTTTCTTCAACAGTCTGGTTAGTTTGAATCCTCCAGCTCGGGAGGATAAACTGCACCAGCAAACGGTCAGAAAAAGGCAGCCAGGCTATGTCTTTGCACCTGGTATGCTGCATGGAGCAGCTGGCAGATTTCTTAGCTGTTTACTGTGACTTCCCACTGCATTACAGGTTAAAGCCAGGAGGAGATGGAGCTTATTCAAAACTGGTCTGGTCACACAGTATTTATCCAGCATAGATGCACATGGGACTCACCACCACTCTTATAAAGATATTAGTTTGGCTCTGGAGGTTGCCATTTGGCCCAGGTCTCCTGCAAAACCTGTCACACCGACCAAAAGGACATACCTCATTGAAGAGCAGCTCCCTTCTCTGCTGCTTCCTGAGATCCATCTTCTTCACAGCCACTTGCTTTCCCGTGTGCTTCTCGGTGGCGATGCAGACGATCCCCGTGGAGCCCTCCCCGATCTTGATGAAGTTGTCCAAGTACTCCCGGGGGTCACCGGGGCTGACCACAAGCTGCAGGGCAGCTCTGAACTGTTCGTGGGACACCCTGGAGGGCTGCTGGTCCGAGGAGGATCCCCAGCTGGGTGGAGGGTAAGCACTTGACGTGATACTTGGGGAGCTGGGGTAGGAGGCGGTGGAAATATAGGGCGAGCCGGGCTGGAGAGATGGCTGGTGATAGTGGGATGCTTTGTGGTAGACCAGAGGGTACTGGTAGCTGCTGCTTGAATAGCTGACTTTGCTCTGACTTTGAGGTAGCTTTACTGGGCCCCTGGGGTAGGTGTCTGATCCAGAGAGCGGGGGGCTAACAACCAGCTGCGCTCGGTCGTAATCCACCTGCAAAGCAAAGGCAGATGAGTGGCTGTGGCTGGACACACAGCTTTGGTGGCATCCATCCACCCAGCTCATCTTTGGCACCTCCAGAGGTCCTCAGTGAGGTCCTCCAGCATGCACCCCCTCTTTTCAGCATGACACTGCTGATCTGTATCTGAAAAGAGAGTTTTAGATCATTGGGCTGCAGTGCTCTCATCAGCACTAAAATGAGGCCAGAGACGACCACGAGATCTTTTGTGCCTCTTGGGTCCAGTTTTCTGTCCAGGTACCTGTTTGTAGATGCAATACTCTTAGCTTAATCGAAGTGTATGCCCCAAAAAGTGTATTTGCTCTGTATCTACAGTGTCCTGAAGCCTCCCTGGGCCAGCTTCTTAAAGAACTCAGCCCTTTCCCAACCAGCCTCCCACTGGCAAATTCCAACTTCCTCCAAAATACCAGTTCCTGGGATCTGAATCTCAGCTCTTCATCTTTTCTTGTGCTTTTCTCCAGCAATTCAGGGATGACCCAGCCTCTTCCTGCAGAGGTGGTGGGACCCTGAAATCCCTCTCACCTCCTTCCTTGCACCACTACCAGCTGCTGTTTGAGTGACTACACACAGAAGTATGACAAGGAGCCTAATCCAATTTACCATTTCTTAAACCATTTTCCAGAATGACACACTACTTAACTGCAGTGTCAAAAAACCCACTAATTTTTCACCTGAAATCAGAGACAATCTCAGAGGAAATTATCCTGATGGGTGGCCTTGTTCAGTTGCAGGTTCCCTTCTTTCTATTTTCCAAGCTTTCCTAAGCTTCTTACACTGAAGGCAAATGCACACTTCACATACACAAACGTCATAGTTTGCATCCATCCAAATAACAACAAAAAAAAAAAGCAGCAAGACAAAAGAAAACCCCAAACCACTCAAACCAAAAATAACCCTTTGATTTTTCCCCCGCAAAAGGGCATCTCCACATTTATGACACAACATATGTGACTCCTGGCGACGTGCGGAGCGTCTCGGGGCAGGGGGCTGGATTGACACAGGCTCATGATGTAGCACAATTACAAATAATTATGGCAATGAGTTCATTTAATCAATCAATTTCGGTGGCAGCTCACGGGGGGGGGGGGGGAAAGCAGCAAACTCTACACAGCTCACGGTCGCTACTATTACTGCTGGCTGCCGGCCAGGAGTCCCTGATCCATGTTAGTTAAATGCACATTAATCTGAATTTGGCAGTGTAATCAAGGACCCAACTGAACTGTGAAATTGAATTCTGCAGTGGAACATCATTTGACCGTTTTATGCTAAGGCTGCAAAAAAAAAAAAAGAGGAAAAAAAAAAGGAAAAAAAAAATCTGCCGCAGCATCAATTTATCACTGTAGGCTGCACACAGCAAGGAGGAGTTTCTAGCTGGAGCTGCCTCAGTGTGGGGAGAAAAGCCTCCAAGTGCAGTATCATATCAGCTCTTCCCTGCCTCCTGGGTGAGCTGGGTGTGCCTTTCCTTTGCTGTCACGGGAGGAGGGAATGCCTCTCCAGAGGGGCTGCTTGCTCACAGATTTCCTTGGGAAATGTGAAGCTGGAGCCTGCTTCCACCTGAGACTTGCAAGTTAATCCCTACCGGCCACCTGGAGCCCCCAGTGAGCACGTAACAACCTTGTATGGCCACCTCCTGGGATGCTGGGTGTGTTTAAGTAAAATACCCACAGCCCTGACTTCACTTACTCTGTCAGGCAAGGGCAGCCATAAAATTGAAGGGAGTCAGAGACAACCTGAATTTCGTGAAGGACATTACATCTGCCAAACTAATCAACATGGGAAAGTGCTCAGATGGTTTCGTGGAGGGAGGGGAGCTCAATCTAGTCTTGCCCTATACATCTGTGTGCATAGGGACACATAAATTATTGATTTGGCTGTAAATACAGCATTTTCTTTCAACTATTCAGATGAGGAAAGTCTTGTCTAGAAATTCAAGCTGAAAAAATCCACACTAATGAATTATTTGAGGCTTCACCCATGCCTGGTATTTCTGAGCACGCCTAAGCTTAACACATTGGCAAAACTGAACCCAGCAGTGAAATTTTAAAGTGAAAATTCCAGGGTTTGGTGTGCTTGCTAAGAATTTTTGAAAGATTTTTGAGGTTAGCGTTGCAGCACAATGTAAACTAACGACCTGAATCCCACAAAATCTTACAAAAAAATCAGGAGCTGTAATGAGTACAGCAGCTGAAGCTCTCCTCTGAGGCTGTGTCCTGACGCAGTGCTTCACATCACGGCAAAATCGAACTCACTTGATTACGCTCATAATTCTATTTCTGCTGCTGAATGCCATTACCTACTGAAAGGAAATTCTTTAAATACTACAAAGGCAAGAAGAAACCAGTCCTGGGCTCACTCTAGATGAGGTCAAAGGAGCAGCCGAAGCTCTGACACGACACCATCCATCATCAGCTCTCAGCATCACCCGCATCTTCACGTGGCCGTGTCAGCAGTTGGGTCTTTTTGTTGTTAAACAGTGGGTATAAGGACATGTTATAACTCATTTCAGGAGCAGCAAGCCCCTGGCAAGATGGGCTCATGCTTCAGTCCTGGAGAATGGGTTTCTGTTTGATTAGGTTTTACTTTGCTGAAGGAGAAGGTGTGGAAGGGCTAGTCTGTACATCACGTGGAGGATGCAAGGGGAAAGGTCACTCTCTGGTGCTTCACCCGTGGAAATGTCCAAGACTCACAGTTCCATGCATGGGGGTGACAGGCAGTGCTCACAGAAAGCTACTGACTAAGGAAACAAGGGGGAAAGGAGAGGGTTTCTGATAGTAAACGTTTGGCTCTGCCTTCACCAGGCTGGAAATGTTCTCCTGGCACAGAGTGCCTACAAAACACTCCACAGGAAAACAGTGGTGCTGAGCAGCACCCAGATCAGAGAGAGACCTCTGCCACATTACAGCAGTACGAGGTAGCAAAGGGGAGAGCAGAAATCACAGCCCCTTGGAGAAGGGACAGGACAGGGTCACCGAGTGCAGCTACCAAAAAATGACAGGGAAAGGAGCTTGGAAGTAACAGCATCTGGTGCAAAAATGTCAGAGGGTTGCCCGAGGGGAAGAGGAGGGTAAAAAGAAAACGTGCAGTACAGTGCCCAAAGCCAAGCAGACCTGGAGAGATGGGTTTGATGCTGTGTGACAACACTAAGGAGACTCCACTGGACAGAGTGAGATGTAACCTCGGTGTCAGGAGGGGCACGCAGCAGACACTGCCACCCCCTGCAGGAGTGCTGGAGATAGTCTGCAGGGATGGGAGAGCAGGTGGGTAACACAGGGCTGGATGGGAGGGAAACAAATCTGAGCCTCTGGCTTCCTACAGTTCCATGGTCCCGCTGCACGTGGGGACCAGTGCAGTGGAAGTCTTGTGATACAATACCTCTGAAATCACTGATCATGAAACTGGGCAGACATCTGATTTGTCTGACATCTATCACCTGCAAATAACCCTGAAGTGAGTCTGCTCTTCACAGAACATCTTTATTACATGCATTTTGAAGCCAGACTTCCATGCAGACTTTTTTCACTGCTTTCTTCCCCTTTTTAATTATACTTCAAAGCAAATCTCATTTGTAAAATATCTGATCTAAGACTTGATTCTCATTTAGTAAGCCCATTTGATGAACCATTATCTTACTAATGCCTCCTTGAAAAGAAGACTCTTGAGCAATCATCCAAGGCAAGAACCTGCTATTCAATTCCAGGAATTCTGGACAGGTTTGGGGATTGAAACTGCTGTCTTTAACAGTGAATCACCAAGCTTTAGTGCACCAAGGCTGTAGGAGTGGTTTTGAGGCTCTGAGGAGAGGAACAGCTCATGATGAATCTCACACGGAGGTATCTTCTTTTTTTTATAAAAGTTGTTACTGCATTTTAAGGGGATATTTTTCAAAGTGGAGTGCATTGAGACCTGTAAAATATACCTCTGTCTTCTGCCCTGTTGAATGCTGTAAAACTGGCAGCAGCAGGCACAAGAGAGTCTATGAATTACTGTTTTTGTCCTTCTCCTTTCTAAACTGACAAACTGATTGATTGCTTTCAATGAAGGAAATGGCAGATAGCCCATCCCAGGTTTCCCTCACAAATTCCAGAATCCCTGTGTAATGCCACACTCTGGTGCACAGTAAACTACCACACGCATCCCTCCCACCACACCCTGAGCTCGGGAAATATGTCCCAAGAGATCTGACAACTTTTCTGCTGCCCTCATGACTTACCCTCAATCTCCAAAGCCCAGCTCTTGTGCTTTAGTGCTATGTGGAATAAAAAATGCATTGCTATCCCTTTGCTGTGGGGCACCCCAGGATCAGCAGAGCAGCCAAAACCTGAGCAAGCATAGACCTATTGTGGGTTTGCAGAGATCTGGGATGACTTCTGGGTCTGCAGCTGGACAGGACCATGCTCTCAGTACACAGAGCCAGTAAGGAAGTGCACCGTTCAGATGACCATTAAACAGCAGAGTGGATCTCAGCAGCTAACAGGCTACCCATCTCAGCACATTTGGAGAGTCACAGCAACCCAAGACTGTTTCAGCCCTGGAAAAATGAGCTACCATCTCAGTGTTCGTTGCTAGGGGAACTTGGTAATGTTCAATGCAATCTGCACTGAAGAAAAAAAACAGCTCCTGCAGAAGTTTAAGCAGGTCATCATCATGGCTATGTCACTAGATGTGTGAGAAGAGTGTTATTCTCTTAACTGAACAAATAGTTACAGTAAGTAGGGTAGGACAGCTTGTATGGGTACTTAGAAAAGGCAGAGCAGGCCACAGCTTTCTGCAGAGGAGCTGCTTGTAGCTACATCATGGCTGAAATGGTTTTTTACACCTTAATGCTTTCTTTTTAACTCCATCTATAATGTCTTAGGTGAGATAAGCTGGTTTGATTTCATTCCACTGCTTTAAAATAAAGCGGAGAGGGCTAAACCCGCACTCTCATTAGCAGCAAAGGGTTAATAAACCTTTTAATATAAATATAGCATAAATACAATATAAATATTAAGGCACAGAGGATGCAGCCTGGCACAGTAACAATTCAAATATGAAAGTATCTGATACACAAGCCAGACCAGCTTCTCACCTCCCATTGAGATCTGCACAGGTATATCAGCTCCTAATGCTACAAAAATTGCCAGAGAACTTGGGGTTATTTGGAATCCCAAGTAAAATCCCTGGAAACTGGGCATCTCCAAACCTGCCTTTCAGTAAATACCTTAAACCCACTAGTCCCTGACATCCTTTTTCAGATACCTGAGTAAAGCAGGTGGGTTTTCACACCCACACAGCTCCCGGGGAAGTCACCGGCTGCATTTGGCACCGCCCAAGCACGGCTCCTTGCTCTTAGTTTTTTGCACACACTTAAATTGTTTGCACTGCCCTTCTGGAGAGGTGGGTCCCTGCCAGGGATGTCTCCTTACCTTGGGGATGCCTGCTGCTGTCTCGGATAAGCGGGGGTAGGTGTAGGAGCTGTAGGAATGTCCTTGCTGGTGTGCCTTAAAGGCACTTGCTCCGTAGGGCATGGCCGGCTCCTGCAGACCAGAGCCTGACCTGGACCTTTGTCTCATCGCTGGCTGAGGGCTCGCTGGGTCCACGTAGGATGACTTGGGCCTCTTGTCGTAGTCATCCTTGCCCAGGCCGTGTCCCCAGTCCCCATCACTGTACTCCAGCCTCTCCTTGGGGCACTCGCTCTGCACCGAGGCTCGGGATGGGGTGTAAGGGAAGGGATCCCTGTAGTCCAGGGAGGATCCGCTGGGGATCCGCTGGTACTCCAGCTTTAGGCCGCCGTATTCCAGTGGCTTGGGCTTTGTCTCCAGGTGTGCGTGGTAATCTGGGAGGAACCTGGAGAGGTCTGGCTGCAGGGGTGTCACTTCTGAATAATAGATGTCCCGGGAGGTCACCTTCATCATGTGCCCGTTCTGCTTGGCGGCGTAGCTCCCCTTGTAGTACCTGTCCAGCTCCTCCCCATAAAGAGTCTTGTCTCGGTATTTCTCCACGACATAGTCCGTTGTGTCTGACTCACTGGAATACTGGGAGTAGGTGATATAACCATTCTCCTCCTGGTGCCTCGGCAGGTGGTTGGTGTTCCCCTGGTGGTGGGTGGGAGGGCTTTCCTTCCGCAGGGAATTGGATCGTGTCACTGAGATGTTGTCAAACTCTTCCAGCAGGCCGTTGATTGAAGTATCCTTTCGAGGCTTATTTCCTCTAACAATTGTCTAGGAATAAAGAATTGCTTGGATTAAATACCCATTTTCATAATCTGACCAAGAAAACCATCAAAAACATCTACAAAAACCACAAAATGTCTACAATTCACCCAGAAATACCCATAGCAAAGCATTGCTCTTCAGTCACATACCTCAGAATAATTCACTGCTAGAAAAAATATATTCTCAATAAATACTTACAATAGGGCAAATAACTAACCAAAGAGAGGTTAAATTCAGTGTATATCATAAGCTGCAATTTGGCAAGAACTTGAAGACAAGCCCAGTTTAAGAGGTGGATGTTCAGCAGCTGATAGCAGAGACATTTAAACCCACTACTTATCTGCTATTATTATTCAGCTGTCTACATCAAGCCAGACTGGTGGGCTGAATCTGATTTACAGCATATGGATAAGCCAAATGAAAACCATTCAGTGGTCACTTTCACATGTTATTTTCACAAACTCTTGGAACAGAAAGTAGCACATAGTTTAGCAGGCATTGGGTTTGGGTTTTTTTAACAAAACAGTATGTTCCTGGGTAGAGAAATTACTGCTGGGGATTGTCTCTTAGTTAGCCCAGCATAAGAGATGCTTGGGGAAGAGGGAAAAAATACTTAACTACATCTCCTTTCAACACAGCATCCAGCAAACCACTATGCACAACCATGGCTTTGGGACATCCCCATCACAGATGCCATGTGGAGGCAACAGTGGTGGCCCTGTTTGTGTCCTAATATTGCAAAGTCCTCTGTAGATCCCCAAGCCATGGATAATGGCATATCAAGTGCTGATGGTGGCATATTGAACACCAACCCTGGCTGCTCAACCTCTGCTTGAAAGCACACAGGAGATCAAACTTTTGTCAAAATAGGCATTTCATCATTAATAAAATCCCCTTTTCACAAAATTAACAGCATTGCACTTCTCTGCCGTTCACCAAAAGGCAGCTGAGAAGAGCTGGGATAGAAGCAAAGCAGTCCTGACCTCGGGCTGATCCCTGCTCTGATTTATGTCTGTAATTACTTGCCTAGTTTGCTCTTTTGAAGCTAGTGATACTGAAACAATAGGACAGCAAAAATAAGGCACAGCAAATAGATCACTCCTTTTGCCTCTGAAGCCATTCAGCGAGATGAGAGGAACGGGTTTCAGTCGGCTACAGCCTCTTTGGCAGGAGGACTGCACCAACACTCATATTTAATTATCACATAATAAACCAGCAACATTCGACAATGAAATGCTTATAATTGAAAACAAGATTGAAATACCCAACTGCCACCCTGCTTCCCCTGTGCAAGCACATGCCAAGGAGGAAAATGCCAATTTAATACTCTCCACGGGACTGGCCTTCACAAAGAAGATCTGTGCTTGCCTGCACAAAAAGACCTCGGAGCCAGAGGGACCCCTGGGGAGCAGAGCAGCATCTTCAGTTATAGGAAAGAGGAGCTTTCTCTCTGCTCCTCCAAGCAGATGCTCTCTGGGAGCAGGATTTTTAGCCACCAAGGAATGATTTAGGAAGGAATGATTTAGAAGAATGGAGCTGAGGGTTTATGTGTTAGGGAATTCACTGAGGACAAACCCCAGCAGCTTAGGGATCTTCTGCAATGAGAGCCACCTTTTTGATTATGAGGATCTAAAAAAAGTACTAATTGTAAAATAGTCATGTAGGAAACTTCAATTTAAAGAAACAAACCCCAAACACATTTGCCAGCAAAGCCCTAGTCTGACGAAGCACTCTGGGTTAGCTCTGGGACCTCAGTGCTGTCTCATGCTGACAGATGAAGTTAAGAAGATTAAGAACTAAACCCCTTTCCTCTCCTCCCAGCACTTTGAGGACAACCAGTAGCAAACAGTGACTTGCCAGGGTGATGGCTGTAGTTCCTATTTGCTTCAGGCTCCTCACTACGAGTAAATTAAAAGAGCCAGTACAAAGGGTAACACTTACCTATCTCAGATGTACATTTTCTATAGAATAATCAGTGCTTTGTTACTATTAATAACAATTATTAATTATTATTATTTGTTAACAACAACACCAACAGTATTTCTGTTTGCTTGGGATTGTTTTTGAGTTTAGCACTCCTCTTACATGGAAAGACATCTTAGTGAGATGCCCCTCTGGCTAAATCAGACAGCCTAAACAAGCTTCTTTTCTTTTCCAAGGAAACACCAAGTGTTATACCTACCAAAAGAACAGTACTGTCCATAAAGCAGATAATTTAGGAAGTGTTTCATCAAGACCCTGTGAAACATGATATATTGTCAAGTAATTTGCTATCTGAATAGAACTTAGGATGTTTCTACACAAATCTGAAATCCAGTGGGTGCCTCTCTGGTGGGCACAACAATTTACTAGGCTTAACAACTAAGTTAATATCCCAAAGCAGATATAATTCTACAAGAGTAACAAAGGTAATTGCTCTGTAAGGATGCCCACAGAGCATCAAAAATAATAATAAAAGAATCAATTAAAGATGTTATAAAGAATGAAACATAGGTTGTGCCATGTTAACCTGTCCTGAGGTCATTTACTATAGAGCAGGTGTGTGCCAGGGGCTCACCAGCACCTACAGCTTCCTTGGCAAGTACAATATTTGCAGAAAGAAGTGCCATAACCATGGCCCAAATTCCCAAACCTGAAAGCCTAATGTTAGCACCAGGGCCAGAAGTACTCAGGTTCAAAAGTGGAATGATCAAATTGCACAGATCTCACTTTGGGATTGTAGACTGGGGTTACTGCACCACCAGGCTGTGCTGCTGGCACAGGGAACAACTCCTGGGGCTGAAATACAACAGCAGGA